TTTTTCCCAGGATTTTCCCCCCATATTCCCAGGATTTTCCCCCCATATTCCCAGGATTTTTCCAGTGATTTTTCCCAGATTTTTCCCGGGATTTCCCCCAGAATTCTCCGGATTTTCCCCCCATATTCCCAGGATTTTCCCAGATTTTTCCCAGGATTTTCCCCCCATATTCCCAGGATTTTCCCCCCATATTCCCAGGATTTTCCCAGTGATTTTTCCCAGATTTTTCCCTGGATTTTCCCCCCAAATTCCCAGGATTTTCCCCCCATATTCCTGGGATTTTTCCCAGATTTTTCCCAGGATTTCCCCCATATTCCCAGGATTTTCCCCCCATATTCCCAGGATTTTCCCCCCATAATCCCAGGATTTTTCCAGTGATTTTTCCCGGATTTTTCCCGGGATTTTCCCCCCATATTCCCAGGATTTTCCCCCCATATTCCCAGGATTTTCCCCCCATATTCCCAGGATTTTCCCAGTGATTTTTCCCGGATTTTTCCCAGGATTTTCCCCCCATATTCCCAGGATTTTCCCAGTGATTTTTCCCGGATTTTTCCCGGGATTTTCCCCCCATATTCCCAGGATTTTTCCAGTGATTTTCCCCGGATTTTTCCCTGGATTTCCCCCAGAATTCCCTGGATTTTCCCCCCATATTCCCGGGATTTTCCCCCCATATTCCCAAGATTTTCCCCCCATATTCCCAGGATTTTCCCAGTGATTTTTCCCGGATTTTTCCCTGGATTTTCCCCCCATATTCCCAGGATTTTCCCCCCATATTCCCACGATTTTTCCAGTGATTTTTCCCAGATTTTTCCCAGGATTTCCCCCAGAATTCCCAGGATTTTCCCCCCATAATCCCAGGATTTTCCCCCCATATTCCCAGGATTTTCCCCCCATATTCCCAGGATTTTTCCAGTGATTTTTCCCAGATTTTTCCCAGGATTTCCCCCAGAATTCTCCGGATTTTCCCCCCATATTCCCAAGATTTTCCCCCCATATTCCCAGAATTTTCCCCGGATTTTTCCTGGGATTTTTCCCAGATTTTTCCCAGGATTTTCCCCCCATATTCCCAGGATTTTCCCCCCATATTCCCAGGATTTCTCCCAGGATTTTTCCCGGGATTTCCCCCAGAATCCTGAAATTTCTCCCAGGATTTTTCCTGGATTTTTCCCGGATTTTTCCCGGGATTTTTCCCAGATTTTTCCCCGTATTTTTCCCAGGATATTCCCAGATTTTTCCCAGGATTTTGCCTGGAATTCCCAGGATTTTTCCCAGGATTTTTCCAGTGATTTTTCCCGGATTTTTCCCAGGATTTCCCCCGGAATTCCCAGGATTTTCCCCCCATATTCCCAGGATTTTTCCAGTGATTTTTCCCAGATTTTTCCCGGGATTTTCCCCCCATATTCCCAGGATTTTCCCAGTGATTTTTCCCGGATTTTTCCCGGGATTTTCCCCCCATATTCCCAGGATTTTCCCCCCATATTCCCAGGATTTTTCCAGTGATTTTTCCCCGGATTTTTCCCTGGATTTCCCCCAGAATTCTCCGGATTTTCCCCCCATATTCCCGGGATTTTCCCCCCATATTCCCAGAATTTTCCCCGGATTTTTCCTGGGATTTTTCCCAGATTTTTCCCAGGATTTTCCCCCCATATTCCCAGGATTTTCCCCCCATATTCCCAGGATTTCTCCCAGGATTTTTCCCGGGATTTCCCCCAGAATCCTGAAATTTCTCCCAGGATTTTTCCTGGATTTTTCCCGGATTTTTCCCGGGATTTTTCCCAGATTTTTCCCCGTATTTTTCCCAGGATATTCCCAGATTTTTCCCAGGATTTTGCCTGGAATTCCCAGGATTTTTCCCAGGATTTTTCCAGTGATTTTTCCCGGATTTTTCCCAGGATTTCCCCCGGAATTCCCAGGATTTTCCCCCCATATTCCCAGGATTTTTCCAGTGATTTTTCCCAGATTTTTCCCGGGATTTTCCCCCCATATTCCCAGGATTTTCCCAGTGATTTTTCCCGGATTTTTCCCGGGATTTTCCCCCCATATTCCCAGGATTTTCCCCCCATATTCCCAGGATTTTTCCAGTGATTTTTCCCCGGATTTTTCCCTGGATTTCCCCCAGAATTCTCCGGATTTTCCCCCCATATTCCCGGGATTTTCCCCCCATATTCCCAGA